TGTATCACGTGGTATCTAGGACTAAATGCCTTTTCCAGTCTTTCCTATTGAATACTATCCGGAAGAAATTGCTTGATTATAGTTAGGCCACATGTGTCAAACTCAATTCCATTGTTGAACAGCTCATACCATCAGGAAGGTTTTCCTAATGTTTGGATGGAATATCTTTTTATGCAATTTGAACCTACTGCTCCATGTCCTGGTGTCTAGAGCAGTGGGAAAAAAGCTTGCTCCCTCAAGAAAAATTCTGTAGTTGGAATCCTGTTGATGTCATCTACATGTTTCCCTACATGATGGTTTGTACCGTTCTGGCAATTTAGCAATCATTCAGTTCATATGAATATGCAGAGGTCCACAAAAGTAACCATTTCACATGTGGCTAAACCCCATTATATCTGCTGGGCTTACCTAGACATTCACTCACCATTCAATATTTGATTGGCCAAGTCTATGCTCATTGAGATTAACTACAGGATTCCACTCATGCTGTTGAATGTTCTTGGATGGTGTGTAACTATTTGCCAGTGCCTTTGTTCAATGGGATTATGATCTCTTTGTTTCATGGGATTGCAGAAACAGCCATCCCGATCTCCCCATTACACAAAGGGGATGATAAGCAGATGAAATTGGTAGATCCACAACAGCTTGCAAAATAAAATCAGATTTATGGAAGCCAGTTTGGGTTACCCGAACATGGTAACATCACCTATACACTATTTAGGTCCCTTCAGCTCTCCCTTCTGTCATGTTTTTAAATATTTTAAGTTTCTTCCAAAAAGGAATAACAATAGACCTATCTGCCTCTCTAATCATTTTAACTATGTCTTAATAACGTAATCAAGACCTCAATTTTTGAAGTCATATCAAAGTCCTTAAGTAAGTTAGAAAGAACACTGCAATATATTTAAGCTAATACATCATTTTAATGGAAATCTTCAGAGGTTCAGTGACAAATTGTGGGAAGTTATATATTCCTTCAGTTGAAGTTCTGTTCTAATTAGCAGTCATAAATGAAATCAGTGGAACATTCCCCTGTTGATCATACTTCTTTTCTTTTACGATTTTTTTTGTGTGGAAATAAATACTCTTCCAGATTCAGGAAGGCAATGCAAGAAAAGAAAAGTATTATTTATAATCAGATCAAGAACCAAGTGACAGGCAGAGAAGTGAAGAGTATTGGGAACTTTTCCCCTATTCTCAACAGGAGAGTATTTTGAGACATTGCCAGCCTCGCAAGATAGTTTTGCCTCCAGTTGGAGAGCAAGATGGGCTACCTTTCCCGCTGTGAGGTTTCCATAATCAAAAAGTTGCCATGCAAAATGTAATTTCACTTTGTGAAGCAAATAAGACACATAAAGCAAGCACAAAATAACTGCTTAAGTAATGGGGAGGTAGAAGGAAAGGCAGTGTGGGAAAGTAGTTTGTATGCCCAGGTTTCTGAAAGACCAGGTTTCAAATAGCTTCTTGACCATGACAGCCACACAACATGACCATGAGCAAGTCATATTCTTTCAGCTTCAGAAGAAAGCAATAGTAATGCTGAACCCCCCCCCCCCCATGACAAATTTGTCTTAGGGTCACCGCAAGTCATATAATAACAACATAATACCATAGTGGTAGTGGTGGTGGTGGTGAGAAACAGTCCATACCATGTTTCTGATTTGTAAAAGTCTATATAACAAGTCAGCTATTATCATATTTTGGTGTAAATTGCACCAAAAATATTCCACAAAATATGACATTTCTTATTAATATCACTAGAAAATATCTCATATGACCTCATCAGACAAAGGTAGAGGAGCCCATCACATGATACAGGGCTTCTTCCAATGCGGCTCCATGCTGACAGCGTGTCGGCAGAGTAGCCCGCGGGAATCAGATGTACATCCAACTCCTCATCCAAAAAAGACAGAAGAGCCAAAGAAGGAGTGGGGGACAGCACAGAAACATAGTGGGAAGTCAGAGTATGGACCCCAACAGTAGGAAACACAACCAGACGGGTTCCCTATATTGCCCCACATTTGCCCTCGCTGTCCCCTGCTTTACAAAGGGTCATCTGATGCAGTTCATAGTTTTGTATGTAAGACAAAACACACATAGTGTCCTGTCTTTGTGCATGAGAATGAAAGAAAGAAAATGTACATTACCATTTTTTGCTTAGATGTGAGGTTTGTATAGTACAATGTAAATTTCGCAGTGACTATAAAACAATTGTAATGGCTGCCTTATAGAGTGATCTGGGAGTGAAAAAGAGCATCACACATGCAAAGGAGAGACTTAAGGATTAAATCCTACTACGGGTCTTGTGCTATTTTATTTTTTTGGGTTATTTGAATTGTTTAATACATTTTATTTTGTTAAAAGTATTTTATTTAATCTGCGATTGTCTACATTTGTTTTGGTTTTCTTTTGGGCATGTCATGATGAGACCTCAAGAAAGATGGGTGGGATAAATATATTTTAATAAATTAATGAATAATAATCCATGGGATTTACCAATCCGTTGAGTCATGATTTAACTATTAATTCAAATTATCTATGCTAGTGGAGATTAACCAACAAGATTCAGTCTCTAATTTCAACTCCCTTTTTCATCCTTTATCAAAGTATTTGAAAATTGGCTGAAAAGCATGATATTTAAGTATTGAGAAAGTCTGACAAGAAGAATCATGGACTCAGAAGAACCCTTCTAGTTTGTGACATATTTTGAGTAAATTTGCACTTGTAATTTGGCACAGAAGAATTTCTGGGAAACAGCAGATTCTGCACAGAAAATAATATTTCTACACAGCAATGTTATTTTCTGACTAGAGAACCATGTTTCCTGCAGAGAGAATACTTTGTTTGCCAAATGGTTTTTGAAAACTGCCTGGTTTTGGAAAACGAAGAAGCTCACTAAAATTTCTCATTACTTCTTTTAACAAGAAAATTAGAAAAGGGAAAATCATATCCCTATTAGTCAGGTATTATTAACCTAACCCAGGTATTGAATTATGGCGGAATAATAGTCTTGTATGGTACCTGCACATTTCTGTCTACATCTCATCAACAAACTCTCTTGTGTCAACACCATTTCAATAAATAGAAGCTGAAGAATAGAGCTATTGTTGGAACATACATGACAAACATCATCACTTCTCTTTATTATTATAGACTCCTTGATACACCCTAGTTTTCAGCAAATCATAACTCCTCCATAGCGTTTTAATAACCAAAGAACACAAGAAAAGATCTCAGCTACTACTTAATGCAACCCCACTGGTGAAAGAAACTGATCTCTACAGCATTTTGACAGGCAGTGGCATCACTAGAAGGCTGTGGTGGGTGTGAACTGCATTGGATGACACCATCAGAGCTGGTGACAGAAAAACGACTGTCTATAAAATGATAGTGTTTCAGAAGAAATGTAGTATTTTACATTAAAATATCCCTTTAATTAGATATCACCACAAAAATATTTTTGAAAACCCAGCTTATATATACTGCATCAATAGACCCACAAGGCTAAAACTCTATGCTGATTTACTTTTTGAAACTTCTAATGTGCATTCGCTCTAGTCAAAGCTGTTATTATTACTCTTTTACAAAGATGTTTTGAATCATGTGGTTTCAACTGCATGTGCTACAAGCTTTTGTTCAGGCTATTTTTTTTTTTAAAATTCACTGATTCTGTCAAATCTTTTGGAATTTTACTAATAATATTGTAGTATGTGTGGAAAACCATGAATAACTGTACTGGTTAGAATGAATCACTGCTGATAGATGATCTTTTTAGTCTTTATTTAAACAATTCTACTAACGGACTGTCTATCACCTCCTGATGCAGCTTGTTACATCAGGAAAGTATTGCTAATTTTGGCTTGAAAATATTTTTCCTTTTTTGAAATTTAAACCCATTGGTTTAGCCCTACACTTTGGACACACTGGACATGAATATGCTATAGCATTTATGTGAAAAATCTTACAGGGTGGATGATGACTGCCCTATTGTTCTTTCAGTGTATTTTCCAAGATGAAACTAGTTTGGGAAAAAAATGCAATTTTTACTTCAAGTCTCATAGGGGTAGCTTAGCTTGTTTAAAGGAGAACCATTTTTATTGAAGGCTTCCAGGAGGATTAACCTTCTTATCTTTCTGACAGTTGGAACGGAAGTCATATATGGGGTGTGAGTGTGTAGCAGCTGCAAAAACTTATGAGAGAGCCGGTGGCCTGGAGACCTAGGATATTTCACCCTAGTTTATATTATTCAATTTGCAGAACCCAATTACTTTTTCACAGCTCAGTCACTTGTAATTCATTGCCATTTATAGGGTGCTCTTGGTATCTGTTGGGGTTTGTTTCTAGGACTTTTGTGGAAACCAAAATCCATGGATGTTCCCATCCCATTACACAAAATGGTGTCCTTTATATATATTGCAAACATCAAGGTTTTCTTTTTGGATTTTTGAAAAAAAAAGTGTTTTCAAGCTGTAAATGATTAATTCTGTAAACAAGGTTTTGTTGTGTCGTTTGTTATTTTATTCAAAACTTTTTGGAACTTTTTGGAACTGTTTCTTATTACTTTGAAAACAAACAGAACTTTAACCTAATGACTTTTTTTTTAAGGAAGTGTAGTTCATGTTGCCTAGAAGCCCTTCCAGACAAGCCCTAGAGCCCAGTATCCGATGCCAGGTTATCCCCTTTACACTGCCAGATAATCTGAGATAAACAGGGATCAGATCCTGAGATACAGGGCTTGTCTGGAAGGGTCCTAGGGATCAGCAGGCCCAATCCAACAAAAACCTTCAGCATAGATTTTGTATTTTGTTTTCCCATAAATGTACTATTTCTACATTTATTTTTCTTACAGTTCTGTCCTAGAAACACAGAAGAGAATCAGGAATGCATGCATATCTACTCCTGACACATCACCCTTCCTCACTTTTTAGTTATTTTTCCCTGTTTATGGAATAAAAACAGCTTTTGCACCTTTATTTTTAAAGTACAAGTACAATATATACCTGCAAAACAGAAGCACCACCATGAAGAAACTGCAGGCCACTTTCAGCAGAGTCAATGCCTCCTGTAGCCAGGACAGGGAATCCTGGAAGAGCACGAGCAATTGCAGAAACGGCTCGTAGAGCTATTGGTCTGATGGCATTTCCTGCAAAAAATAAAATAAAATAAAAATAAAGCAAATGCGTTATTGAAATAGTGCTAGCAGATTTCTCATCTTTTTTCACACCACTGGCCTGTCTGAGGCACCTGCCTTTTATTGTAGTGGAGAGTGACTAGAACAATGATTTCTGTTACAAAAAAGGGCTGTTGTGAGCCCAAACTCACCCCCACCCCAAATATATCAACATTCCCCTCATGCTCTTTAGACATTTGTGGATCCTGTGAGCCGTGTGTAATCCATGGACACTCTTCCTTCCACTACTGCCATAAGGAATACACTCATCCCTCTGTATCCATGGACCTTGAATCTATGGATTCTGCCATTCACAGCATGCATACCCACCCACCCACCCACCCACACCCACGCACAAAACTTTAATTTTGCTATTTTATATAGGGTACACCATTTTACTATGCCAATATATGAAATGGGACTCAAACATCCACAGATTGTATCCACAGAGGGTTCTGGAACTGAACCCCAGTGGGTACCATGGGCCCATTGTATTGGGGTGATATCCCCCATGGTTATACCCATCTCAAGTGTTGCCAGACTGCACTCCCAGGTGGCAAGAGAACAGCACAATTGCTTGTGACCATGTATTATCAATATGCTGCCATCTCGCAGCGTCCCACAGCAAAGAAAGTGTGGAGATGTATCTGTGGCTTATTTTCCAAAGTTGTGAAAGCCACATCACATGTTACCAACAAACCTGAGTCTAGTTTTGTTTCAGCTTTCTTTGTATCTCTTTATTGTGGTTGAAGGTTTTTTGATTTTGGTACCACTTTGCTCCTGTTCACCTTGTCATCACCTTAGTACTTCTTAGAAAGCCTAAGGCAAGAGCAAGAAGTAAACCTCAAGCCAGTGCCTGAACAGTGTAATACTCCTTCATCACTATTCTAGCCACAATCTGGACAGTAATTCAAAAGTTATAGTCATACAATAAAATTATTTTGTAATTTATCACAGCAAGAGTGTTATAATAGTTGAGTGCTGGATTGTTGTGGTACCTCCCAATTCTCCAAGGAGGCACAGCTTTGGCTGAAGACAGAGACAAGCAAGTATCATCCGGTTTGGTCAAAGTCTAAATACAGAGATATAAAAGTGCTCATGGGAGCCAGAAATGGGACATGGGGTAAGGAAATCAGGCACTTTTCTATGGCTTACTTGCGAGCCATGGAAAGTCACAAGGTGAAAATTACATTTTCCCAGTAAGGCAACAGCAAATCTCTTCTGAATAAATATTACCACAAAAAACCTTATGAAAGGGTTGTGATAAATTGGAGTCAATTTAAAATCATGTAACAATAACAATTTAGTGATAACTCCATGCTTAGGGAAGGGAATTCATTGTATATAATCAGACATTTCTGATTAAATGCAAGTAAGCTCTCAGTGAAATATCATGATAACTACCATGATAAAGGTACTTGATGGTAGGATGGAGCAAAGGCAGCCTATAGTTGGTGGGGTTGACTTAAATGATTTTTTATTGTATTGGATAAATGGCTTTGTGAATTGTGATGGCTATACCATTGACTTCCTTTCTTGTATACATTCTTGATCCCACCTGTGAACTTCCAGACATTATATTGCAATGCAAAACATGCTATTCTCACTTAGAGGTTGAGGCTTTCTGTGAAGAGGTCTGCTAGACCCCACCCTTACTGTCCTTTATGAAAACCTCACTGTACCACTGCATTTGAAACTATATGATATGGTTTTTCCAAAGAATATTGAAAGAAAACTGTTGTGTTGTCATTTTGAAAGATGTTTCTTTACTGCCTGTTGCCTCCAGCAACATGTCACCTCCCTCTTAAGAGCCCACCAATTTTACAGTCAATGTTGGTCTTTACAAATAGTGTGTCTGACAAGCCTCTCCCATCAATGCAAGTTGCTACTGAATCAGCATCCAGACACTAAGACAAGCTGTCTCTATTGACATCTGCTCCTGATTCAGCATGTGAATTATCCACTAGGGTTATGCCACCTTCAGCTGCTTCAGCAGAGATTTCTCCTCATTATTCACCTGCTCCAGCATTTCCTCCATATTCAAAACTGAACTTGCACCCCATCAACATCTGCTCCAGAACCAATAAGCATGCTGCCTGGTAGTATGCCATGACAACACATGTCTTCAAGGAACTGATATCCTTTAGGAATAAAGAATATTGAGACTATTTGCTCTGCATGAGTAAGACTGAGAAGGAAAGTGTAAAATAGTTCTCAAATCCAAAATGTATTGTGTGTAGAATTGGTGATGGAGAAGAAGCTGCATTAAGGACTGAACTCTAAACAAAACAGTATAAATTGCCAATATATAATTCTTTAGCAGCACTGGCCAACATTTGACCAAAGGTGGGGATTGTTTTGAAAAAAGACCATAAAGAACAGAAAGCAAAGATCATGGCAAAATAGAAGATCACAAAAGGAAAAGAGAGAGGGCAAAAAGGTCTCATTGGGCATTAATAGATGGCTTGATATTTGCAGTTAGCTTAACAAAATCAATCTTAATGAGACTGGTAAGAAGAACACAAAGAGTCCTCCTAAAGTCATGCTGCTTTTTCACCCTTGCTCTTTCAGACTATAAAGCATTGGAGTTTTGCCCAGATTACACTTCAGCAGTGGACAAATGACTAAATCAAATTCAGAGTATGCTGGTTTAAGATTGGTCCTACCCGCATCTACTCCCACTTTCTTCTGCAGTTGCAACTGAACAGTATACAAGGGGAAATGTGTAAAATTGCAAATAGAAGAAGCTGTACATTAATATTTTAAGTAATTTGGCAGGAGGATACTTTTGCAATGTGTTGCATCCATTCAACAAGCACACTTGAGTTAGGACTAACTGATTTAAGTCTAACTACATGCTTTGGTGTTCTAGTCCAGTTGAGGTATTATTTACATTATGAAGCAGGGCAATTTCGAAGACTTATATAGGGTCTCCCTGTGGTCTGGCTAGCTTCTTCTGATATCCTCTGTTCCCTTTAAGAATTGCGTCTGCAATACAGAATCACGTATATCTATGGATAAATTAAGCATAATCCAGGGTTATAAAACTGATATTGATTTATAGTTCCACATACAAATCAGGTACTGATTTATAATTAGGTAACCTCAGGTTGGCGCCAAATGTGCAGGCATTTCATTCCCATGTGTTCATTTCGTTCATTCATGTAAGTAATGCCTGAACAGGGCTTGGGTAGTTGCTTCCAGGGGTACTGAAATTGTAAGGTTGAATTCCTTAAGTGGAAAATGAATTCGGACATTGATACAACACTGAAGGTACATCTGATCTCTAAGAATGTATCTTAACTAAACTTTGGCAATTTCACTTTTTAAAAAAATCTAACAACCACCATCCCCGGATGCCCAGACAACAGTTGAAGATGTTGCCATACAAAGATTTTCTTCTCAGAACGGGGCCAAAATACTTAGCAACTATGCAGAAAGACTCCAGTGGCTTCTATGAACCTTCAGTTTGTAAATGAAAAAGCAAATATCATTATTGTAGGACGAGTTACAAGGATTGTCACAGTTCAGAAAATAATATATCACATACTAAAATCTTCTGGTGGCTAAAAACTGCAGGATATTTTCACGTGTCTTCAAAAAGTTTTTAAAACTTCAATGATGATAGTGTTGTTTTAGTGAAATATAACACAGATGATATCTCTACCTTGTATATTTTTCCTTTTGTCTGATTGTTGTGCTTCCTTTAAGTTGAAAAATAATATGACAATGGAAAAAATAGTACAAAATATAAAACAAGTATAGTATAAACGTATTGTAATCTGTAACAATTAAAGTGTGTGTGTTTTCTTTCAAGCACACATCAAAGACTGTGACAAGTAGACATATAAAACTTAGTATGGATTCTAAAGAGACCCTAGTACAGACCAGATATATTTTAATTTATTAATTTTCTCTAAAATTGGTTATAGGTTGTTTGTATTTTCAGACACTAGATTCTGAATTGCCATCAATAAAAAGAAACAAATTTTAATGTTGATAAGACACAAGGCAGCGCTGCATATTGTTTTCCTCTGAAGGACTCTCAAACTCTTCAAATAGTATCGAGGACTGCTTCTTATCAAGGAGAATGCAACAAACAGAAGTTTGAATGAAGACTGAGATGGATGGAAAGATCCTGGAGGAAGAAAGAACAACAGAAGGACAACAGAAGAAAGGATAAAGAACAACATATGTGGCTGATGATTTAAGTGTTTCTAAATTTTCTGGTACTGCTTGTTCTAAAGAATGCTTTAAGGCAGTCCTCTGAATAACAAATGCTAGGAATAAAAAAGTATTGCTACTTTTTTGCTTATGGGTTTGCAATCTAGTGATGAAAAAAAGATGATGCCTAGATGAGTCTTCTCCAAGCTGGGTCCTTCCAGATTCTTTAGTCTGTAGTTTTTATAATCTCAAGGCAGCATGATGGAAAGGAGTTTCCAGCTGAATATGAGGAAGAACTTCCTAATGGTGAGAGCTGTTCAGCAGTGGAACTCTCTGCCCTGGAGTGTGGTGGAGGCTCCTTCTTTGGAGGTTTTTAAACAGAGGCTGATGGCCATCTGTCAAGAGTGCTTTGAATGTGATTTTACTGCTTCTTGGCAGGGAGTTGGACTGGATTGCCCACAAGATCTCTTCCAACTCTATAGTTCTATGATCATGGATGAAAGGAGCTACAAACACTTGGAGAAGAAGTCCAAATTGAAGAAGGCAGAACATCTACATCTATTCTAGAGTGAGTATACTTATGTTCTTTATTTAAATGACACTCATAACAATGCTCCAATGTTTATCTATCATCTCTCATGTGCTACTGCTTTCCAGTCTTGCTCCTTTTATTTTTTTTATAATCATTCAAATGACAGTGTCAACAACTAACTTCTTGATTCTTTAGTTATTGGAAAATTTACAGTCATCTGTAATTCTGCCAGTAAATGCCTGCTAACAATCCCATGACAGCTCGCCGAAACAACAGT